CAAGTTGTCAGGTCTGAGACTCAAATCACAGCCATGTGGGAATCCAGCCCCTTAACCATCGTGCCACCCGACACGGACTTATTTTTTTGTATTCCGTCTTCTGTGTCAGCTTGTACTGAGTCTCTCACTTGCAAATGAAAAACATCTTCATTGCTACAATCTCTTTATCTATGAAATATTAATATAATCCCTCGCAGGGCTATCGCGAGGATTAAACAAGATCAGGGGTGTTAAAGGGATTTGAAAAATAATAAAATGATATATATATATATAGGGTTCATCCCTGGCTGGTGGGAATGTAAAGTGGGGCAGCAACTGTAGAAAACAGTTTGACAGTTTCTCAAATGATTAAATATAAAATTACTATCTGACCTAGGAACTCTACTCTAAGCATACACCCATGAAAATTGAAAAAAAAAATACACACACACACACACACACACACACACACACATATATATATATTCACATAAAAGTTACATATAAATGTCCATAGCAGCATTGTTCATGACAGCCCTACATGGAAACACCCAAGTATCATCTGATGAAGGAGAAACCAAAGGTGGTATATCCCTAAAACGGAATGTTATTTGGCAGTAAAAAGGAATGAAATGCCAGTAGATGCTACAATATAAATGCAAACATCATCTAAGGGAAAGGACCAGACTGAAACATCTAGAATAGACAGATCCATGGAGACAGAAAACAGATTAGTGGTTCCCGAGGGCTGGGATGAGGGAACAGGAGTGGCCGCTCATAGTTACCGAGTTTCTCTCTGGGATGATGGACGTGTTGTGCAACTTGTGGTAATGGCTACACAAGCTTGTGACTATACCAAAAACTACCAAATTGTACGGTGAACTTTATGACGTGAATTATAGCTCAATCAAAAATTAAAAATAGGCCAGCCCCATAGCATAACAATTAAGCCCTGTGCAGAGAGAGCCGGATCCCACGTGGCTGATTGTGGTTAGAAATCTGGCCCACGTGGCTTGTAAGACGCACCAGGAGTGCCAGGCATGCGTCCTGACAGGATTATGAAATGGTTAAAGGACTACAGTGCGATCACCCTCCATTGAGGGGTTCTCTCTCTTTCTCCCCATTCTCTGGTGAATGCATGTGCTCTTTGGTAATTGAAAAAAATACACTAAATGAATGAAAATGAAGACATAACACATCAAAATTTGTAGGACACAGCTAAAGCAGTGCAAAGAGGGAAATGCATAGCAATAAATGCACACATACATTAGAAGAGAAAAAAAATCTGGAATCGTTTGTCTAAGCTTCCACCTCAAAAACCTAGAAAAAAGAAACAAAACGCATCCGAAACAAATACACAAATAGAAACAGTAAAGATAAGAGCAGAAACCCATGAGATGGAAAATAGGAAACCAATGGAGAAAAAACATAAAATAAAGGCCAGCCTCTCTGAAAGATCAATAAAACTGAGACACTTCCTTAAGAAATTTAAATAAATATATATACACTATAGTCATCCAAAGGTTCATCATCATCATCCTCATTCTTATTTAGTGCAAATCCCAGCTTCTATAAAGCCCTTCACCCAATTCTCTGAGCTTCTCCAGCCTTAGAATCTGGATCTTGCATTCGTCACCTATCTGCTGCTGCCTGTGTGGTTCTGATGTTTCATGATTAAACAGTGACTAAATGTAAGTTAATAAATAGTAAATGATGAAGTAGTGTCTCATCTTCTCAGCCCCATCACTAGTAGTCCACGCAGCCTTCTGCTGTGGCCCTGAGAGCACAGGTGAGGCCACACCCCTTCCCATGCGCACAGCCTCAGGCCCCTTCTGGGGATAAGGAAAGTTGCTGATGGTAGAAACCTTGCTGGCAGGACCAGCAACAACACATTCACCATAAAGCATTCCTTTGGCAAGCTGGTGCAGTCTCAATGCCGTGGACAGACCTCCCACACAGCAGATGTGCCAGGCCCCACGACTCTCTGACCCTCAGGGATTAGAAGGCCTCACAGGTACCCCAGAAATTCTGATGCACCTGTAGTTTGAGACCACTGGGGAGGCATGCGTGTGTGCCCGTGGGGAAGTGCTGGCCGACAGCAGTCATCAGGCAGGCTGCTCCTGGTCCACAGCAAACCAGCTTGAACTGTAAAGGGGACTCCTGGTCACGGGCGTGGAAGGTCCTGAGGGGAGCGGCGGCTTAGGGGGCATTGACTTGGGGGCTAAACATCATTGTCCTGAACTTACTTTCTCCGTTCTGTCATCCAGTGTCTGCATCGTTCTAAAGCCAGGCTCCTTCCCCTCCCCACCTGCCCCTGTCCTCACCAGAGAGAGAGAGACTGAGAAAGCACCCCCAGGGGCATGGCCATGCTGCGGTCCCCGTTATCCTCTCCGGGTTCTGGGTATTCACATGCATCCAGAGTGATTTTAAAGTCACCGAGTCCAGGACTTGAACCACACAGTTGGCCATGTGGGGTCCAGCTGCTTTCACCACTACACCACTAGCCAGCCCAAACCCTGTCAGCTTCTGAGCCTACAAAATTCCTTGTTCCTGCCTGGGAGAGGAGGCAGACGCAGGAGAGAAGAGAGAGGAAATTAGTTGGTTCACTTGTTACTTCATTTGTTCATTTAGGGGTTTATTTAGAAGAGCAAAAAAAGCTTATTTCCCACAGGGCCAGCAAGTGGCATGGTGGTTAAGGTGCTAAATTCCCACATGGCTGACTCCAGTTCTAGTCCCGGACCTGCAGTTTGATTTCTCACCCTCCTTCTCTCTTTCTCTCTGGTGAGCACACATGCCCTATAGCGAAATAAAATTAAATACATAATGCTTTAAAAGAAAAGAAAAGCTTTTCTTCTCTTTGTCATGTTGCCCTTTCTTCAACTATGGCCAGGGGATGACAACAACTGATTGGTTTTACCCTGAACCATATACCTCCCAGCACACGCGCGCACACACACACGCCAGAGACAGACTCACCTTCGCCACACATGGAGAGGTAAAGATGAGGAAGTGAAAGCCTGTATAGCTGCCAAGAAGAGAGTGACGCAGAGGGGCAGACGTGAAGCCACTGTGACACACAGGTGAAGGACCTCCAAGCCAGCTGTCCCCAGAACTCACCTCTGGGAAGCCTTCCCAGTACCTCCCAGGAGAAAGCCCCACCCCCTGTGCACACACCACCTGCTATCACCCATCCTCCACCCACTCACCCACCCTGTGGCCGGGGACTGGAGCTGAGTCCTCGGCTGTCCACCAGAGGTTTCTGCCCCAATGCTGTTTGCAGCCTGGGCAGGGGTGAAAGTCCCCCATACCGCCACACCAATGCATGCCTAGTTCCCCATGGAAGTAAGGAAAAGAGGACAGGGGAAGTCAGCCTGTATCTGAGGCCAGACCTGGTGGGGACAGGGGACAGGAGGCAAGGGAAGGCCTTCCTGAGAGGGTGCAGGAGTCGTCTCCTGTAGCTCTGGGCATCCTGCCCTCACCTCTGCTGGGGAGGCCAGCTCCACACCCACCCGCAGATTGCGGCTCAGGGCCCTTGTAAGAAATGCGTGTTAAGTTTAGCCATCCATGGCCGGCAGGTGGCTGAGTCCCGAAGAGCTTTCTGCTGTGTTAAAAGTGACCAGCATGGCTGGCTGTGGGTGCCGCTCCGGAGAAGCCCAATCGCTTGGACATTTGAATCCTGGACCATGCGGCTGAAACACACCCGAGGGGCGGGGGGCTCCAGTTCCTAAACTCTGTGGGCTGGAGGCGGGAGAAAGGGATTGAGTGTGAGCAGACCCTTTGGAGGGTGCTCCCCACTCTCTCTTCTCCCTCTCTCATATCACATGCTCCATAATGGATTAAAAGGAAAAAGAGGGGCTGGCATTTGGCATAGTGGTTAAGGCGTTAGGCTCCCTGGTGGCTGGCCTGCTGTGCTCAAAAGGAGAATGAAGAAGGCATTAGGGTGGCCGACCCCCCCGAGGGTGGTTTCTCACCTTCCCTCGTCTCTCATTCTTACACGCATGCACCCTATGGCAAAACAAAACAAAAACTTAAAAGAGGGACCAGCAGTTGGCGTAATGGCTATGGCACTGGACTCCCATGTAGTTGACCGCAGTTTGAGTCCCGGACCCGGTGGCTTAAACTCACACAGGGCACCTGTGCGTGTGTGCCCAAGATTCTGAGAGGAGAATGGAGAAGGGTTTGTGATGTGGCCATCCCCCCCTGGGGTGATTTCTTGCTTTCTGTCTCTCTGTCTCTCTCTGTCTGTCTGGTGAGCACATGCGCCCTATAGCAAAAATCTCTCCAAAAAAAAAACTTAAAAGAAAAAAAACAAATTGGCTACCCAGCCCTTGGGGATGCTTCCAGGTGCCTCGGTGGCGGAAGGGGAGGGGAAGGGGGCTACATCCATTCCAGGGCCTTTACATTTTTAAAAAATAATTATTTATTTTTTCATTCAATAATTTTCTAATTTGACCAGAGAGAGACAGGGTGACAGTGAGAGAGAGAGGAAGTGAGAAAGCAAGCCACCAGATTCAGGACTTGAACCCTGGTCGACCACGTGGGAGAGTCCAGCGCCTTAACCACCACGCCACCTGCTGATCCCCAGGGCCTTCACATTTCAAGCCTCAGGGATCCCGGAGGCAGGGGACGTGGACGTCTGAAGGACAGCCACTTGGGCTGGCCAAAGGAGACCTGAGTCGCAGCAGGCGTGCCTGGGTCCCCGCAGGGACCCCTCCGGGCAATGGGGCTATGATCCGGTTTTCCTGCACAGCCCGAGTGGGCGGTGGGGAGGCGGGGGCGATGCGCTGGCCGGAGCGGTCCTGGGGGTCCCTGAGCGGGAGGCGAGGTGGGGAAGACGGCGAGGGACGCGGGCGGCGTCGAGGCCCAGGTGGCAGAGGGGCCGGGCTGGCTGCGCGCCCGCGCCCCGCGG